ACCTCATTTTTTTAAAAATTAAGTTAGTAAGCCTATTCAAGCCTCTTTTCATTTAATGTTTGTATTAGTGCTAAAATGAACTACTGATGTCTAGGTACTTTGTTATGAAGGATTTTCTTTGGATACTAGAAGGGGTGGGATAGCTATCTAAATATCAGCTTTAAAATACCTAGACTCTCTGGAACCGTCAGTTATATTCTCAGGGATTGGGGGACTCCTTAATTACTCTAATATATATGGGTGGAATGGCAGACCATTTCCTACACAAGTGTCTTTCTACAAAATCTTAAAAACCAAAATACTCTGTGGACTTTAAGAATTCAATAACATTTTTTCTTCCTTTAGGAGAAATGCTGGTTTGTTGTATGATCCCAGAAATCCAAAAACACATCCTTTTCTTTTTCTTCTCCTCTTCGCTTACTTAGCATGTTATACCCTAAGCTATTTACATGCAGTTTAACAATCATAAGCACTGTACTTTCAAATGTGGCTGAGCTAGTTCATTATAAGCGCTAACCTGCAGAGAACTACACATTGAAGCCTGTGTAGCTAGAGAGAGCTCTTCTTAATCTCCACATGGTACCTTTGATTAATGGGGTCTTTCAGTTCTCCTCACAGTTTTATTTTAACTTTATATTAATCCAGAGTATTTCTTCAAAGTTTTTTGATGTTGTTGATGATGATGTTGATGTTCTGCTCTGGGAGGAAGCTCTCTTACACCCATTGTATTCTAGAAGTTTAAATGCAACTGTGGAAAGAGAAGACATTACAAACTTTTGAAAGGTGTAACAGCCCCTTAAATATAACAAACTTAAAATCTCAGTGCATTGAGAGGTTTGCATGCCAAGTTGATAAAGTGCCTAAACTCACTATGTATAAACTCACTATGTGCACCATAGAAATGGAGTCATCAAAATTGTCTACATAAACTGGAAAGTCTTTGCTATTTGTTCAATAGAACAGTTGAGAAATCCATGCCCTTAAAAGGGACTTAACACAGACCCTCTGCAATTGATAAGGAAGGAAGAATCTCCAAGTGAGGTGGGGTAGCTGGACTTTGTGGGCCTCTTTCTTGTCCCCTGGGACTCACTTTTCATCAGCAACCCAGGAGAACAAGAGCTGGGCTCTGCTGAGGAAGCCACGGGCTTCCCCTGGCTCTGATGGCAGCGGGGAGTCCCAAGATATCCCAAAGAGGAAGGTGAATCTGGAGGTGGAAATCAAGGCCAGGAAGTACAGCTTCTCCTCCTGGATTGGATCTGGATTTGACTGTTTTTTTTTTTTTTTAAAGGAAGAGAATGGGTTTCCTCAGAGCATTATACAGGGGATTAAGAGAAATTAGTAGACTCAGGTTGTTTTAGTTTTGAAAATGATCTTGGAGGGATAATTTAAATTCCCTATGCCTTAGTTTCCCTGTGAGAAAATGAAACAGTAAGTCACAAAGGGACAGATGTTAAAAATATAAAGGATTTTAGCTTCTATATAGGAAATGCATGTGCAAAATATTACTTATTAGTAAAATGCATGAAAATATACTGTTAATCCCACTAAAGATTTATATGCATAGTTGATTTTATTCAGTTCTTCTTATAAAAATGTAGTGGCCAACTGTGTTTTCAATGCCAAGAACCCTGAGGAGCAACTAGTTTCTAGGTATCAACACTTAGTTCTAAGCTAGGAGATGTCTCAAGGAAGATAAGAGACTTGCAGTTTTGTCTGGTGTCCAAAAAGCTTTCCAGACAGCAGTTTGTTTCCTTTCTCTTTTTATGAATGGCGGTAGTATTATGCTTCAGTCTGCGTTTTCTACCAAAGCCATTCATAAAAATAAAAACAAAACAAAATAACAACAACAAAAATCTTTCTCGGCAGTCTGGAGCCATTGGGTGCCAGAGGCTGGGAAAACATCCTGGCAGCCATAACCCCAACCAGCATTGAAAGTATTCAAGGGTCTGTTTGTTTGGTGGTCTGAAAAGTATGAAGCACTGTGTCTAAGGGTAGCTGGTAGAAGTTCTGTGACACGGACTAGGCCGGGAGCCAGGCCTGGCAGAGTTTCAGACATTGTCTTTCCCCTCATTGAAGTGTCAGGACCTAATTCATAGAAAATTGGGTGAGCTGGCAGCCCTTTCAGAGGATTTCATTGAGCCACAGTGTGCAGGAGTCACATGAATGCGGGATCCCTGGCCAAAAAAGGAGGGGGATTTCTGCAGCAGGAACCAGTCAGCCTGCAAGAATGTGTGTGGATTTGAAAGGGCTTGGGAGGAAACATGTGTACAGGTGTAATCAGCAGGATAAAAGAAGAGAAGAAAAGTGGTCTGTTCTTACAAACGACCCTTTTAAATCAAACACTCTCTTAGCAACACGTTTTTGAGTCCTAAGAGGCAAAACGTCCTAATTATCCTTGGTTTGATTCCACCTGGAGAAAACATCATCTCAAAACCTGGGTTTTAGTGATGATGTCATCTTACTGTGATGTAAAGTCGAAGAGAAGAAGGTTTCTTTCAGTGAGCAAAGCTATCTTGCCACTTATTTCATTATCTTGTTGGACTAAGAAAGCTTTAAGGATTTTTTTAAATAACATTTTTAATATACCAGCAGTAAAACATCACACCACCACAGGAATTCTGAGAGAAAGGAAAATGAATAGAGGCTCGTGATCTAGTGAATTTACCCTAACTTCTGTCATTTAGGAAACCTGTAACAATTTTATTTCTTTTATTTGTTTCCTGAAAGCATGTCACTGTCCACATCAAAGTGGCTCCGTTGTATATGTAAATCTCAGTCCTGTGCAGATAGAATAAGTAAGGCTTATATTCAGACATGAGAGTGAGTACTGAAAGTAATCCATCCAAGAGCTTGGGCTTCAAATCCACCTTTTTACAATACCAAAGAAGAACAAATATTTTCTAATGCTCTATTGGAAAATTCATTTAGGCTGATAGAAAAAAGTTCCCTCAGATGTTTCACTAAAACAAAGAGTTTTACTCTACGCATACAATTAAATATATATAGGTATAACAAAATATCCTTCATATGATACCATCAAGAAAGTGAGCAAAATCACAAAATGGGAGAAAATATTTGCAAATTGTATATCTGATAAGGGACTTATATCCCGAACATAAAAAGATCAGTTATGGGGCCGGCCCGGTGGCTCACTGCTACAGTGCGCCGCTTGGGAAGCGCGGCGGCGCTCCCGCCGAGGGTTCGGATCCCACATACAGACTGGTTCCCGCTCACTGGCTGAGCGAGGTGTGGGAGCAACGCTGAGGGTTGCGATCCCGTTGCCGGTCCCGGTCCGGTACGGGCGCAACACTGAGGGTTGCGATCCGTTGCCGGTCACGAAAAAAAAAAAAAAAAAAAAAAAAAAAAAAGATCAGTTACGAAGAGATAAATAAATTTTTAAATGGTCAAAGGATTAATGTTTGAATAAATATTTCTCCACAGAAGATATACAAGTGGCCAACAAGCACATAGAAAGATGCTCAACATCATTAGTCATGAGGGAAATTCAACTCAGAACAACAGTGACATTCAACTCACACCCAGTTGGATGTCTGTAATCAAAAAGACAGACAATAACAAGCGTTGGCATGTATGTGGTGAAATTGGAACTCTCATACATAGCTGGTGGAACTGTAAAATAGTTCAGCTGTTTTGGAAAACTGGCAGCTCCTCAAAAAGGGAAACAAAATATTATCCTATCACCCTGCGAATTCCACTCGTAGGTGTATACCCTAGAGAAATGAAAACATGTTGACACTAAAACTTGTATATGAATGTTTATAGCAACATTATTCATAGTAGTGAAAAGGTAGAAACAACCCAAATGTCCATCAACTGATGAATAGACAGGTAAAATGTGGTATAGCCATACAATGGGATATTATTTGGCATAAAAAGGAATGAACTACTAATGCTATAGTGTGGATGACCCTAAAAACACACATGGCAGTTAAAGAAGCCAAACTATGTATTGTATGATTCCATTTAAGTGAAATATCCAGAATAGGCAACTTTATGGAGACAGTAAATTAGTGGTCAATTAAGCATGGAAAGGTGGCTGGGGAGGTGGAAAGGAATGGGGAATGACCAATAGTAGGTACAGGGTTTCTTTTAAGGGAGATTAAAATGTTCCAAAATTAGGTTATGGTGATGGTTACACAAACCTCTGAATGTATCAAAAAACTTTGAATCGTATGCTTTAAATGAGTGAATTGTATGGTGTGTAAATTATATCTCAACAAGGCTGTTTTTTAGAAAATAAAATATTAATATATTAGACCCTTTTACTCCTCCAATTTTGTGATATGCAGATTAAAACCAAAGTGAATCAAACAGTAAGTTTATTTTGATATAGTTGGTATGTATGGCAGACTTTAATTGGGAATTGTTTTGAGATAACTTGCGTTGTATTTCCTTGACGTAAAGAAATTATGAATAGGGCCGGCCCCGTGGCGCACTCAGGAGAGTGCGGTGCTGGGAGCGCAGTGACGCTCCCGCCGCGGGTTCGGATCCTATATAGGATTGGCTGGTGCGCTCACTGGCTGAGCGCGGGGCGGGTGACACCGCACCAAGGGTTGTGATCCCCTTACGAGTCACGAAAAAGACAAAAAAAAAAAAGAAGAAAAGAAATTATGAATAGGGCCGGCCCCGTGGCGCACTCAGGAGAGTGCGGTGCTGGGAGCGCAGTGACGCTCCCGCCGCGGGTTCGGATCCTATATAGGGTTGGCTGGTGCGCTCACTGGCTGAGCGCGGTGCGGGTGACACCGCACCAAGGGTTGTGATCCCCTTACCAGTCACGAAAAAGACAAAAAAAAAAAAGAAGAAAAGAAATTATGAATAAACACCCTTGAACCTTAGAGAAACCATTTGGACTGTAAATTTTCTTCTTTGCTTTGCAGACAAGTGTCTACTTTTAAAATATGTATACTTAATTTTTTTTATCATGTGTGTTTTATTTTAAAATATAACGTTTCTTTTTTTCTTTTTTTTCCTTTTATTAGCCACAACAAGTTGTTCAGAAGAAGCCTGCTCAGGTAAGATATTGTCATTATTATTTTTTTTCCTTCCCAATTAGTATAAAAAGTGAAGTAGAATATATACTGAAAAAAAAGTCCCCAAATCAAACCTTTAATTAGCATTTCTTCTCATTTTGATTGTGTCAGCATTGCAGTATTCTTGAAAATTTGTTGTATCCTTCACAGTCAGGAATATATAGTCTGTGATAGTGTCATTAAGAACCCAAAAAAATCAAGGTCTTAAGTGTACAAATCAAATATAAATGCAATACTTAAAAAAAAACTATGTTATTTTGGTGCCTCTATGGAAAACAAATATTTAATCATGTATTTTACCAATTTTTAAACATCAAGTTTTGTCCTTTCCCCCTGACTGTCTATATTCCATTAACTCAATATGGGACTTATTCATTACAAAATATTTCATGATTTATGACTGTTCACTGAATTACTTCATAACATTTGATGATCTCCAGACACCCCCAAAGGAGGCTGGGAAACCAGGAAATTAAACTATCTGAATTTGCAGATTGAACTACTCTTGGGTCTTTCTTAAGTGACTGAATCATTGTCTCTGAAGTCTTTGGTAACACCAAAATTAGGATCCAGCTTTACTTCTTTTGTTTCATATGCCTGGGGTTTCTTGTCCTAACTACAGTCTATACAAAGAAACATAAGAATCATATTTATTGAGGAAGTATATCTCGAAGAAAACAAAACTGAGGAATAAATTAATCATGACTGCCAAGAATGTGTGCTGTTGTTAAATTATAAGAATGTCCTGCTGTTCTCTTCCCTTCTGGATTTAAATAGACAGGAGATCTAGGTGGTATCATGCAGAAGCTGCTAAAGTAAGCTATTAAGCAGTGTCATGAGTTAGCAAATTCTTTGTAAATCTTTTTCATATCATTTAAAATATCCATGGAATCTTTTTACCCAGATGTCTTTAAAAATGCACCGTGCACCCTCTTCTCTTAGGACAATGTTGCCTTGCCTGGGAAAGACCATCCAGGCAATCTTTTATGGCTACTGTTCTTTAAAAATGCTGTTTGGAAGAGAATTGAAGCTTCTGAACACATGTAAGGATCCAAGGAAAGTGTATTCAAATAATTACACACGTACTTTAAGTGGAATAAAAGCAGAGTTAACACAAAAAAATAGCATTTTCATTTCTACTCCCATGCCTAAAAGCCGGGGGGAGGCCCACTAAAAATACTCAGTTTGAGTGTTTATAAGCAATATTAAACACAACAAAATGTAAACAAAAACTTGATATTTTAAGTAGGAGATCCCAAATGTATTTAGCCTCCCATCCTTCCTCAGTAAGAAAATCAGGTATTTTTTATGAACTCCCTAAGTGAGTCTAATGTGCAGCCAGGGATGAAGATACTTAATGGGAACACATGAGAAGATGTTTGAACATTTGTTGAACAAATGACCACAGAATGTCAGTGTGTAAGGGGCACATAAAGGATACAGATGAATGAATGAAATGCCATGGGTTTTTGAGGGGATGCTTCCCTGAAGAGTGGAATGTTACTGTTTTGTTTGATTGTGTTGTTGTTGTTTAGTTGTAGACAAGAAAATGAAGACATAAATTAAGGAAAAGAAAGGAAAACATTATAGGTGAGAAGAATGGCATATACAAAGGTAGAAGGGTAGTAACAAACACATCATAGGTGGAGGTTATTAATGTGGCTAGAAATGATTGCAAATTGCACATTAATACACCAAGAAATAATGTAAGTGAAATCACAATTTATTTTTTCTCAAGAGATTCAGGAACCTCAAAAGGCCACGAGTGAATTGAGTTGATCTTCATAATCAACCTGGCTCTCTTACAAACCCTGCTACAGATTTGCCCTTTAAAGGAGAGGAGTTCAGACTCAGAACTAGACAAAAGAACATGAGCTCATTGGGCTACCTAATTTATATTGTCTAAGGACACAGTGATGAATTATATAAACATGGGGGCTACATGGAAGTTCGTGGAGGATAATGTAAATTTTACACTACATTCAAAAGAATCTCTTCCTTTTCCATCTGTTTCTTTCAAAATACCCTCCCAGATGGCTTTTCCATGTGGCAGTCTGGATTAACTCAGGCTCATATCCTTTCTTCATCAACAGCATTTTGAGGGGTTGCATTCAGATCCTGTTTTGAGGTGGCAAAGATTTTAGCACAATTAAATATTTCACATCTAAAGAAAAGAACTCAGCGGTGTGTAAGAAGACCTAGGCTTTTCGTTCTGGCCCCATCACTGGGTTAATTAATCTCTCTTTGCTGTATTTACTCATCTAGGAAATGGGATAACAACAGTGCTTACTCCCAAGAACATTATGAGAGACTGTAATTGTTTAAGTCCCAAGGGGTATTATTATGTTCTGACTTATTTTTGATTACTACATTTTTTACTTCCAGGGATTTATATTCTCAAAAATTCTAGAATTCTAATTAATTCAAAACTACTACTTTTTTGACTTCAAGTGTTTTCATTGCATGTTTTTAAAATCAGGATTTTTTTTAACAAGGGGAAATTTTATAGTAATTGCTACATCCTATCATTAAGGACTAAAGTAGTCCGAATCGCCTTCCTTATATGTATGTCACATACATATGGAATTACAAAGACTCTGTAGTAAATCATCTGCATGTCATCAAATTGTGAAACCTCAGAGCTTTAAGAATGCCACTTCTTGAGACTGGGATACAAAACAGCAAAGTTCATTCTAAGGGGGCAAATTCAGAATTATGATCAGTCTCAATATCTACATATGTGTTTGTGTTTGCATATGTAAGTGCATGTGCCTAGAGAGGAATAAAAGTGTAAGGGAAACTGTACTACAGGGATTTGTGTTTGGAAAATCCACCATATGCCATTGGCTGCAAAACTCAAGTGTGTCCCATAATCCTAATGGGACAGTTAATAGTCTCTTACAATTCTAAAGGGGAAAATCTACAATATTGACATTCACTTCTTAAACTCCAAAACCAGTACAACAAAGCTTATGCGAGAATTCTAGTATGTTTTCAATTAAAGTGATAAAAATAAGCAGTAAATAGAAATTAGCTAATTAGCAATAAATAGGGCCGGCCCGGTGGTGCACTCAATAGAGTGCGGCGCTTGAGAGCGTGGCAGCGCTCCTGCCGAGGGTTCGGATCCCATATAGAGACCGGTCCGCTCACTGGTTGAGCACGGTGCGGGCGCGACACTGAGGGTTGCGATCCCGTTACCGGTCATGAAAAAAGACAAAAAGGAAAAAAAAAAAAAGAAAGAAATAGAAATTAGCTAGATTTTTAGCAATTTGAGCAGTTGAATTCTCATCCATGTGGATTACATTCTTTAGTAGCTAATAGTGGTAGGTTTTTCTTTTAATAAAAGAAACACCGTGAAAGTATCCGTTATTATTATTGACAGAGGAAGCTTTGTTTCTCAGGTTCTTATTTTGATAAAAATACATCTCTCTCCATCTCAGACTTCTCAAAAGGTTTTGATAGTTTATCAGATATCTTATTGTTTCTTGATGTTCTCCCTTCAAGGCTTTAAACTGAGATTAGAAGTGATTCGTTATATATAATTCAGACATTTTTTCTCACCTCATTTTTTTCCTCACCTTTCTTCTAGACCCAAAAGGAAAACAGGTTTTTCAAATCCTCACAGTTCTCCATCGTTTTAATCTACTTTCCTCACTGTGGTGCAGCCCTGGCAAGCTACACCTCTAGCAATTAGGGCAGGTATAAACCTGCTCCTTTTTGATTTCCCAATGAGAGAATTGGAAAGTTTTCAGTTTCTAAAAGACTGGAAACAAAGCTTTCTTTTTTAAAATAGAGATTTTACCTGTGAGTAACATCTTCTGTGGGTGGCGTGCAGCAGGGCAAAGGAATCTCAGTAAGCCTTGGTTATCATGGGATTCCCCCAGCCCCCCTTTAGAAAAAAAAAATGTTGAATGTTTTTACAGAGACTTCAAGGGCAGTTTAAGGATGTTTATATTTCAGACAACCTAAACATTGTTTGGAGCGAAATGAGAGATTTCATTTTTGGACAAGCAAGTTGATGAATTGCAGTCAGCATCTTGTTCTCAAAGAAGGCATTTTTACTGGGGGCTTTTAGTCTAGACATACAAAGGAGGAAGGAGGAGAGGGGAGATCATGCTCACTCTAACACTCATCTTTTACTTGGTACCTTGGCCACTGCAGTAAATAGTTCATAATAAATCAGACTTGCAAATAGTCACCGGTCTGCTCACTCGGGGAGCATAGTGATTTATACTGCCTAAGTCATAAAGAGTACTGATTTATTTATTTTCCTACTTAGGCACTTTCAAGCTGGTAAAACATTTTTGGGGGCCAGTAAATGTTTGGTACCAACAGGCAAAACAAGAAAAATCATATCAGAGACTGCCCTGAGTGGCACTGTCTTGTTGTATAAGAAATATTTTTTGACTTAACCTCTGGCCTCTGACATTGCAAAGGTCAAGGGAAAAGGGGATAGCAAAGTAGAAACCAGCATTTAACCCTTAATAAAGTAACAAGAGGACATAACAGCAGAGGGAAGGTGGAGGGCAGAGGAGTGTATCAAAATGATTATTAACTGTACACAGATGAAGTAATTAGCTTAGCTGACATTTGTAAGACAGGGTGGCAAGATGAAGTCAGCTGTTTCTTGGCAGGGACTGTCTCGGAGAGATGACATAACTTGTAGCAGAAGCGAAAGGACATCGCTCAATTTGGGGCAATTTACAAAACTCCAAAAGGTGAAGTTTAATGTTTCTGGACTTGACAGATTTACTATAGGATTTTTTGAAAGGTAGAATTAAAAGATAATGCAAATCTTTCCATGATCTTTTTGAAGTACCCTCATATGACTCTTTTAACTGTGTGAGGAAGTTTGTGAATTAAGCTAAAAATAAAATGGCAATATCTGCCTGCTTTTCCTATTCATATTACAGAAGGCTTTTCCTCTCGTTTTAGGGTGAGCTGGATAAAAAACAATTATTTATTCAATATGTAAACTTCCTTCTTACTGTCCAAAATTGCTGACCCAAACCGATGTGAAACAAATAGTAACCAGGTTTTAAAACCTGGTCTTTCTAAGAAAATCCTTAATGATTAAATAGAAATATGTTGCTTTGTCTAAGAAACTTCCTTTACATTCAGGAAATGTTTGCTGGACACTCAAATTTCTGTTGAATAATCATTTGTTGACTTTGTTATTATTGATGTTTCCATAATCTTATTCAAAAGTCATAACTCGGGATAATGAAAAGCGTTTGACACAATAATGATTAAAATCCAGAAATGTTCTCGGCAACAAATACAATAGCCAGGCAAAATTTTATACACATAGAAAACAAAGGGAAAAGTTTTCTCCTTGTCTATGCCTTCAATAAGCATGTCTGGAATGTAACCATTACACAGCCTTTCACCTAACCAAATTTCGAGACCACTTTGTATAAAAATGAGAGCATTCCTCAACAGTTTTGGAAATGTTTAAATAAATTCCCTTCCTCTGAATGCTTTCTTTATACAAAGATCTTTTTGCCTACATCTTTAGCTATGTTTTACACTTGAGGCTCCTTCGATGAGAATTGGAACTGGCATGGAAAATTGATGAAACCTGTGATCCTCAGAAATCATGCCTCCTGAAACTTGCGATTAGTTCATACAGAAAATGACTTCCTTGTCTGAAAAATGTGACTCCCATCTCAACATTTTTTTAAAATAGCCCTTGGATCCAGGAAAGAGAAGTTCGCAGCATCCCAGGGAGCAGTGTTAACTCTGTTGCAATATTTTCAGTGGTGGAACTCTGTGGAGGACACAAACAAGACACATGGGAGTACATTTTAGGAATCTATGGCATCTTATTTTCTTTTCTTTTGGGGGTTTTGTTTAATAATAGTTTTTTTTTCTTCCTTCTTGAGAATCTATCATTGAATCACAGGTAAACAAACAAATAATGAGTAACTGAAATGAGCGATCACAGTTTCACACAATAATCTTAACAGGATTTGTACTCTTTTTCAAAGTTTTCCTATGTGGCTGTTACATTTTTTCTTACTATCATTACTGGTCTGGCCTGGAAGGAGTGAGGCACAGGGTACATAACCCATTAGTGCCATGGTTAGCACCAGTGGTCAGTGACATCTAAGA